TTTTGAGCACAGAAGCTTTCAGTGCGCGGGCGACACTACCATTTCGAGCCTAATCTTTCAATGTTTCAAACAAAGTTGAGCGCCTGGATCTTGTAAGCTAGCCGGCGTGGGAAGTTTGACGCCTTGGCTTGCAGAATTTTTGGCTTCGATCAAATTCTCGGTAACCAAGGCTTGGGCGTCGGTTGAATGCAGCAGGACAATCCCCTCGACACAACCAGGCTCACAAGAATCCTCATAGATCGGGCGCCGTGCATTTGCATGAAGTCTATTGGCACGTGGTTCTCCAATTCTCCATTGTGGGCAGATCTGTGGGGGGGCGTTAGAGCGGGAGGCTCGGTGCTTGATGATTTGGGGCGGAGTTGGCAGCATGATAAGGTACGCTTTCCCCCAGATTTTTCATATGCGTGCCAGTCGGAAGATTGTTTGAAAAGCTTATGACGACGCTGTTGAGCCTTAACGCGATGACTATCTCCCGTCGCCACGTCGCAAATAGCACGACGGGTGTCATGACAAGCAGACTTTGAGACAAGGGGAGTTTGTTGGAGCGCTTCTCCGAAAAATAAGAAGAATTCTCAAACATCATGTCGTTGCCCTCCATCATTTCTACTTTAGAAGGTCCCGGCCCGTAAAACGGAATAAAACGTGGGCAGCGAGCCAATCATATTGGCGCAATGATGCCAGGGGTCGAAATATGCTGTTCATTCATCTCAGGAACAAGCAAGTTCAAAGGCCCATGCACAAATCAGATCAATCCGGCCCTGGAGACAAGATCGCATATCGCATTGATGCAAGTTATCTCGACTCGAAATAATTCGCTCTTACATAATTGCATGGATAATAGAGCTCCGACTCTGGCCGTCATACATATATTCTACCGTACTTTACATTAATTACCATGAGATTATTCACAGAGATTGTCATAGAATCATCAATCATCACCAACAATAAAGTATCATCGCCGCCACACCGCTCCGTAATTTCTCCCTTCTGAGTTCTGACTCTTCTAAAGTCATACTTTGACATCTCAGCGCCACAGGCTTCGTAACTTTCAACTTGTGATCTCAGCAATCGAGGCTAGACGTGTTTGAAGCGTCTCATTTTCCAATTCCAATCCAAAGTTTCCAGCCCAATCTCCACCAAGCCGAGCTCCCACCGAACTTTGACGGCTGGGGGATCTTTGGCGTCGAGATCCAGGTACAGGGATCTGTCTGCAATTCTGACTTCAGCTCCCCAATCCTTCTGTGCTCCTACTTTACATCATCCGCCATAATCAGACGAGAGTAGATTGACTGAAACTTCACCCCGTCAAAACTTCTCGCTCATGCCCTTTTCTTCCTCACTGATACCCCTCCCCCCTTCCTCTCACCAACCCCCACATTCTCAACCACTTTCGCCGCCCACCATGTCAGGAAGGAGTGCCTACGTGCGCAAGCAAAACTTCGAACAAGCAGATAAACGAGCATTCAAGGAATACTCTGAATATGGACATGATGATCCTTTCTTCTATGGCTATCCTGGCGGACCAATGTCCGCGTCCAGGCCAAACTTCTCCGCAACTCCCTCATACCAGTCTTCGCACCACTCCAATTCGCGCCGCCGATCAGCATCTTCTACAAGCAGCACGTATGGATACCCTCTTCCTCATATGCCTTCACACATGCGGAAGCCTCGCCCAATAATCGTTGCTTCAGCAATTGAAAAGAGTGACTTTCGAACACACCTCGATGGCATGAGCTCGAGTCTGCGCGGCAAGCTTGGGGGGTTGATCAAAGGGAAGAAGGACAATGCAGAGAAGCCAAAGCCGCGGCCATTTACATCTACCATGAACTCGGATATCCCAAATCGGAGCGAGAATTACACACCTTCTGTGGATGCTGTACCGTCTCTGACATCGAGCACTTCTCCCTCAGAGGGTCAGGCGACTCTCTCTTCAAGTGGCCACCATACTCCCTCATCACGTCAGAGACAGCAGCAAGAGTCCGTCATACATAAGATTAGGAGATTTGAAGGTGGTGGAAAGCTGCCTCAGCTGGGCTGGAAGTCTCTCTCGAATGTAAGCATTTGCCAAAGCGCATTGGTGAACCTTACGCTGACAGGAATCAGAATCCTGAATTGTGGGACGAGAAAGGGGACACATTCGTTTACATGTATATGCAAGCTTCACGGACGAAGCCACCTCCTTCCTTCCGCATCAATTCTCGAATCATCAAGCAATCCGGGTCCAAGGCGTTCATAGACCGGCTGTACAACGTCACGGAGCCTGAAGGCTGGCCTCAATTTTATCCTAATGACGAACACGCTCTGAGAGAGGAGTCGCCAGAAGATGCCGACATGTACAATGCGTATGGATCTCACGGTGAAGACGGCGACATTGATGCCATACGTCCTGTTGACGATTCGAAGCCTCACGTCCAAAGGGCGCCAAGTGGCATCCAGCATGAGATTTACATACCGTGGCCGGGAGCAGAGACTGGAATACACTCGACAATATGGCACATCACCACCCGAAACTTCTTCGCCGTCATGTACGATGCTAGCGCCTTGGTCGGCACGACACTACATGAGGCAATGACCAAGCTGTCTGAGCGTATCGTTATGTATCCAGACTATTTGGATAAAAGTATCAACAAGGTAGACTGGATTACAGACTACATTGTCCGTCACAAGTTTGATGATGTTCGAAACAACCCATCCTATGCAGCCTCATTGCTGGCCTTTAGCGAGGCGCCTGGCGTGCAGTGGAGAGAAGGCTACATCGAAGCCTTTGTGCACTGTGTAGGCATGCTGGACATGGGGCTTCAGACGATTCCGGAATGGCGTCACGTCACACCTCATACTAAGATGTTCCTGCAGAACGCGAGCATGGGGATTGAAGAGCGAATCACCCGGGCTCAAGGGTGGCTGCTGTCTTTCGACTTCGGCGAGATGTGGCCTCACACTGCTCTTCCGGCTTCCGTTGCTCGCGGCTGCTTTGACCGACTGAGGAAATGGCTTTGCAAATACTACGAGAATGCCTTCCTGCATTGGCCACCGACTAATGACCAGATTTGGCTGACTCGCGACACGGTCATGCGTCTCAAGAATGATTTCGAGGGCTTGTACGATTACCTGGTCGACCGTGACGTGATGTTCGATGGCACAGAGTATCGCCCAGGACAGAAGTGGGCTATCACCAGCCGATCTGGCCAGAACTTCCGTGCGGATACTTTCGAGCTTCCTTTCACCGATATTCTTCTTGGCTTCGACAAACGCAACGACTTCCCCCATATCCCTCATCCTTATCCCATCACGCCCACCTCGGTCCCCACCCAATCCAAGTCTAGATCCACATGGATTGTCAAGAAGCCAATCTCGCCCGCAGACCTACTGGCTCAATCCCGCCGCAAAGCACTGTCCTACGCAGAAGCTAGCAATGTCTACACTCTCCGTGACCAATATATGCACACCGACCTCGTCACGAATTTCATACGTTTCGAGCAGAGCGATCAGGTGGAGACTCTTGACCCGTTCGAGGCACGCCGCGGCCGTTGGATCCTTATATACGGTGTTCTACAGGTCCTTGCTACCATCTCTGTCGACAGTCCAAATCTCCGTTTCAAAGAAGGCGCGCAATACCACCTCTGCCCACAAATGAAAGGCGTAGTACCCTGGGCCGAGCGAGGCTCCCCGCCCGAAGCAGAAGCCGAGCACAAGCGTAGTCATTGCTGGGTCATACCCGAAACGTGGGGTCCCGTTCTTCCCAAAGCTCGTCCCAACGCGCACAAACCCATCCTATGGGGCCAATACGGCGATGGTAGAACTCGAGGAGCAAGCTCGGAGTCTGATCCTACCCTGGACCCTCCCGGCCCCAAACCACACGATGCTAGCCTCGGGAGGAAAAGAGCTGAGGAGTGGGTTGCGACTAGTGGTGGCCCAGAGGTGGGAATGGGGGATATTGGCAGTGAGATGAATGCGAATAACATGGATGAAGTTAGAAGTACAGTGAAAAGTGAGGGAAGTGGAGAGCATAGTACTGAGAGTGCTGCGGAAGCTGCCAGGAGAAGGAGGGCGATGGTGCATGGGTTCACGGATTTTCAGCCACCTAGTGAGTGGTGAGCTGGATTATGGGTCATGGGTTAATGGGGTAATGGAATACCATGCGGGGCATATGTTCCTCTTTCTGTTGATACCAGTTATAGGGTCTTTGAGCAGGGCGCTCAAAGGGTAACGATTACTGGCGTCTCTTATCTACCCCCGCCAGGGAACATGGTGAATGGAAAGACGGGCATGAATATATGGTATATTTGTGTACGGGCTGCATACAGATCAGTATCATTCATCAAGAAGAACCCGTCTTCCCATGAGTCCCATGCTGGCAAACCTTGGTGACGTGGTCACTTCGACATATTCCTATCCGCGAAAAAGTGCAAAAGAGCCATTCCATCCGACAATCGTAGTCGCAATTCCCATTCCACTCCTCAAACTGTCTACGCACGTTTCACGTGGCTCATGCTGCGTTCTCCCACTGCTCAAGTCTCAACCCGGTCTCATGTTCGAACACGAGCCGGGTGCCATGAGCAGTGGAACCGTTTCGGAGATCCCCCTGCCGAGGAAGACCGATGGATGGCGAAGGAGGTCCGGTGGCTTTGAATGAGCGTGCAGTGGTCTTTCGGCAGGTCAACGGAGCTGTTACGGAGCGCACTAGTGGGGAACACCGCTTCGGACTATGAGGACTGGTGCCGGTTCTTGGGCCGCAGAATGTGTTGCTGCCTTCCCAACGAGTCGACAGGAGGAGGTTTGCGAGGTCGGTTTTGCATGGGTCGGTTGAGTGGTGGGGAAGGGAGGGTGAAGTGGTCGATGCTCTTGTGCGAACGGTCTGTGTATTCTTTTAGAGATTGTATGTGGCTTTCAGAGGTGGGAATCGTCTACTGTACTGAGTGAGTGCGACGGTGTTCGGGATACTTGTGAGGAATGGCAATTTATAGCGTGAAAGAATCTTTGTACAAAGACCGGCGCACTCCCTAGTATACACTGTCGACAGGCCTTTGCTTCCGTCTACCCACATCCCCCAGCCTACCGAGAGGGTTACTCCTTCTGTTCTCTGTCTTTTTCTCCCTGCTCGTATCGTGCCAATTCGACTCCACCACATCCCAATCGATCGCGTTCCACCACCCCTCCAAAAACCGCTTCTTCCCTCCGACACCATAATTCATCAACCAAACATGCTCCCACGTATTCACCCCCAACAGGACATCGATATCCGCTCCACCGTACGCGATTTTGCTTTCCTTCCCGGGAAAGAGCGAAGCGCTTCCGAACGAGCCAGCGGCCATCATGGTATTCTGATCCTGTTCCTGCCTCCTGTAATGCGCCCCTGGCAGAGGCGAACCGGCGAGATAGGTTGTTAGGATTGAGAGTTCGTTTTCCATCAGGTAAGCGTTTCTGTATTTGTGTCGGACGAGCCAAACGAAGCCGGGTCCGAACATGGCGTTGGCGGTCGCGATGAAGGTATTCTGGAGCGATTCGGGGGAGGAGAAGGAGTCGCTGATTTTGGATGTGAGGAAGGCGGACATTTTTGGAGGGTTGGGGGAGAGGGTGGAGAAAAATTGGTGGTTGGCCCAAGCCATGCTGGCGTGGTTGAAGAGGGAGGCGGCGTGGGGTTGGCGGGCGTGCGCGAGGACGAGATCCTTGGTGGGGGTGTTCTCCAATGGAGTGTCTGAGTGATAAGGTTAGCAGGTGTTGGTGATCGAGGTCCCAGTAGAGCAGATCCAGGCAGGGGAGGATATACCGGCTGTTAGCCTGTTAAGGCGGTCGACGAGGTGGCCTTGATATTGATGCCAGGCCAAGTCGAATGCATCACTCGATAGCATGCCAGGTACGCCATCGGTTTTGAAAGCTTCGCCATGGACAAGCAGGGGCACATTATGGATACGCCGTCGTTGCGTTTTGGGGTTGTAGAGGCATTGGGTCTGGGATTGGGTCAGAATTGTGGTCGCGCTGTACAGGTTATCGAAAGCTTACTTGGATGAGAGGCCGGCATATTCGCAGAGCAGTCTGCTGCCGCGAAAGAGGTGACAATATCATGAGAGATCGAGTGGTGATGTTGCAGAGAGAGCTAAATTTACTCTACTTCTCTCACGATTCGAATTCCAATAGTTTGACGCTATCCTTTTCCAACTAGCGCCGTTTTACCGCCACCAGTCAATTGGTTTCCCCAGTCGGAAACCTCTCATCTTTCACACAGAGCCGCCGACGCACATTGTCAGTTGTTTCATGTGACCACTGCCAACTCGTCGAACTCCCTCTTGATACGAGCTTTGACTCATACTCCTGATGCAGTAGCTCTACCTTACCCCGTGCTCTGGTCCGGGTACCTCGGCGCGTGGGCTCAAGTCTATTCCTGCTTCGCTCGAGCATAGTAAAGCTCATTGCTTGGCACATAAGTGATGCCCCAATCGCTGCTACCCTCGTTCCCCCATCGAATGTTCACCTTCTTGTTCCTTCTCTAGTTCGCCTTCATGTTCAAAGTTATGGTTTGGTCTTTGTACGGCATGTGCTAAATAGGACTTCCATTCTTCTCCCTCTATCTCGCCCTTTGATCTGCCTCCGCCCTTCTTTGTGCTGCTGTTCTCTTTCATCCATCTATATTCCTAATAGTACCGGCATACTGGACTTGCCACTGACTACTCAACTTTCTTCATATCCTACTCACTACACAGAATCACCATGGGACGAATGACCTTTCTCGAACTGGCGGCAGTATGCCTCCTTTCTACCACCGTCCCCTCAGCAACAGCACTCTCAGCAGCGGAACAAGCAGCACAAGTTCTGGGGCTCCTACCAAGAGCCAGTACATGTTCCCTCTCTGGCTTCGCACCATGCAACCAGGATGGACTACCTGACAATTTCTGCTGCCCGACAACAAGCACCTGCGTCCCATTCAACAACAAGAAGTCTGCGATCTGCTGTCCAACAGGCCAGACCTGTTCCGTCATAACAGCTATCAGCTGCGATATCACCCAACAGAATGCAACTCTACATCCTGAGAGCCAGCTGTTTAGCACGGATTTGAGCGGTCCTTTGGCATCTTGCAACGAAAATAGGTGTTGCCCCAACGGCTACAGCTGCCAAAGCGACCAGTGTATTCTCGCCACATCCTCAATCACAGCATCGACCTCTTCGACCACAGCTACTTCCTCCTCTTCAATCTCTTCCCCCAAAACCACCAGCTCGAGCTCATCCGCATCCGCATCCGCATCAGCCACAACGTCACCAACTTCCACGTCCGCTACCGCCACTCCGATAGCCTCCAACCTTTCAACCGCCCACAGCTCAATACCACAGGCACATTGCCCTCAATTTACCCCTGCAGGTACCCTGGTGGGATTCTTCTCAGGCTTAGCCATTGGCATCCTTCTGACCGTCGCCTTCCTCTGTTGCTTCGGCCATCGACGCCATAAAGAACCCTCCTCCCCTACCTCGCCCGATTTCTCCCATGTCCGAGCTTCGATATCCGACCCTATCTATAAGTCTGAGGGTATGGACGCTGTACGTGCCGATTTTCTACGAAAAGAATCCAAACCCCGCAAATCTTTGCGCTCCATGTTCTCAAGGTCATCTACGATGAGATCTCGCAGCGCGCCCGTCGATGGCATTGGCAGGAGCATAGTAAACGTACCGCGGACACCGGTCAATCAGCGGTCACCATCACCGCGGATGAGACACGAGCCGAGTATGGAGAGCATCAAGATATACAGCCCGCCAGGAGGAGGACTCGGAAGGCCGGGGACACAGTTGGCTGATATGCTAGATGAAGTCGGATGGGATCCTACAAAGCCCTACATTGGAAGTCCAGGCCGGGTGGATCCGAGGAGCAGAGGGTTAGGTGGTTGATGAATTTAGCCTTTGGCATGCATTTGCTTTGAATATAGCGCTTTTTCCCCTTGCATCTCAGTAGCATTGAGCGTTTTCTTGCATTGAATGAACACAATTTGCACATGTCTTGCGTATTATTATTGCATCTCAACACTCGTGCGGTCCTTCGTCATTCTGTCTAAAGTGATGCTTGCCTACTCGTCGAATTTGAATCCCAACTCGTTCAAGCGCTTATAACCGTTTCACGGCGTTTGTGTCATCGATTTCTTCAATGCCACGGTTGAAGAATCGTCCCCACACCACTCGGCCGCAGATAGGGACGCGCCGTCGGGTAGACGGTACAATCAACCTTCGAACGTGCGCACTTGGTCGAGCAAATCCACTCTCACCGTTTATGCGCTTCGAAGCGATCTCCTTAGGTTGTGCCCGCACTCCCGCTGTGTTATGTACCCTGATCTCCAGTCTCAATTGTTGAAGGTCTTGGCTTCTTCTCATGCTCGGATTCTACAGATATAGATCTTGACCCATACCGACAATGAAACTTCTCCAAATCCGCCATCTCCTCGCTCTCTTCCTTCCCATCGCCTCCACCTACAAGATTGAAAGTTGCGACAACAGCAAGCCAGCCGTCGAATATGCAATCACCCTCGCCCAAACAACCATGATCCGTCCTCTTCTCGACCTCCAGCGCGGTATCTCCAGTGAACATGGCTACACCGCTATGTACAAATCTAACGTCTTCAAATCCTTTCTCCAGAAGCTCATGACTAACATCCTGCACCTACCCGTCACTCAAGCTGCAGGACGGGATCAAGAGCCCGTTTTTATCTGTGCGAAGGCGGGTATGGGGCAGAAGTACGGTATCGGATACGACCCCCTCGATCGTTGTGGTCAGACTGGAGTAACGAGTTTCTGGGCAGAGGATACGGTTCTCGTGTTCCTCTGTCCGAGCTTTCCGAACATGAGATTCCAGCCGTCCTTTACGCCTGGTGGGCCGCGTGATATATATTGTCCAGTGGTGCAGAATAATGTCTTTCTGGGCCGGTCAGATCCCTTGGTCAAGTACCAGAATTATGATTTGGTGCATCAGCTGGCGCATCTGTACCTGCAGGATGGGGGCTTGACGGGCCAGACGGAACCGAAGGAGGTGATGGATTGGAACAGCTGCGTCGGTCTGGGTTGGACGCCGGTCGAGGGCGGCCTGTCGGTGAAGAATCCGTTCAATTCGGTTTACTATGCTGCTTGTAAGTGTTCGTCTGGAAAGAGATGAGAAGGTGTCGGGGTGCTGATTGGAGGCAGTCGTCAATCAAGAATGCACGCAGATGCCCGACCCGTTCATATCTCCGTTCTCGGGGCAGAATGATCAAACGGGGCTGCTTTCTGGTGGAAACATAACCAATGCTTTGAATACAAATGGGACGGATTTGCGGTTGCAATCATAGTTTAGTAGGATCGAAAGATCTCCTGGAATTGGACCGCTTGTAAGATAATGTAGCAAAATGCATGCGCAAAGGGGATTTCAGATCTAAAACCTGACAGGAGACATCTCCCTCTTCTCCATTTGCGCACATTTTGATGGGTATCGACCAGAACAGATCGGCGCTTTTTGTCATACGTAGAGGCAATTTCTCCAAGTCTCCAGGGAAGCACTGCCAGGAAAGGATAACGATTGAAAAGGAACGACCTTGAATAGTAGTCGTTGTAGATTTCTAATGCCAGGCATTCGCAACGATCATGAATTCGCCAAATGCACTTATTCTAAGGTACTTTAGGGATGTTCCGCGCTGTGCGTGCTCGCTAAAGCTCGCGAAAACACGTGCAGCGTGGCACGATTAGATTTGGTAGTGCGTCGCCAAGGAGTGGGGTATATTAGAGGCCAGCGTGGCATCAGTTTTTCATCAGGGGAAGTTGCGGACGGTGAATATGTCCTTTGGTTGAATTAGACTAAAGAACTAACTCTCGTTTATCGCCGTAGGCTCCACTTTCCCGACTTCCACCGGCACATCCTTTGCCTTTGCCTTTGCCTTTGCCTTTGCCGACATCCACCGGCACATCCTTCTCCTTCCCCTTGCCCTTCCATTTGGACTTTCCACCCTGAGCCTCCTCAGCAGCCTTCTTCCGAGCTGCGTCCTTTGCCGCCTTCTTCCCAACCTTCGCCGTACGCTGGGTCTGACCAGCCACATTGACAGGGACCGCGCCCGCCTCGGTGACAAGGGCGGATCGTTGCTTTGGATCCTGTAGGTCGTGGCTTATTTTATTAAAAAGTACGTTAATTCTATGAACGGGCGAAGAAATTTAGGACCTGGCATGGCTATTGGTTCGGGAGGAAGTCGTGGGCATAACGCGCATGGTTTTTTACGGCACTCGGTCCAGTTTGAAGTCTGTTTAGATAACTGTATTGTCTCCAGTCTTGCTCGTTGAAGATTACCGCGGCTTCGGCGGCGTCTCCAGACAGGTTTGGGCGAGTGGTCCTCCGAGAAGCGGTGCGGTATACCCTGGGGGGCTGTGTCTTGGAACTCCTCGTTGTACCGGGCCTTCTTGACCTTTTTGTACTGAGTGTTGAGGAAGTCAAGACTCTCCGCCTTCTGCCTCTTCAACTCAACCGCAAGTCTGGCCTCGGTCCAGGTAGCACGCTGCGCTTGGCCAATCGGGCTGGTGTCTAGACTAGTATAGTCGTTGTATACTAATTTGCGTTCCTCGAAGTCTCTCGCCATGGCGCTGACGGCGGCTTGACCCTTCTTCTGTTTGGCCTTGACCGTACTTAGAAGAGCGGCCAATTGACAGACAACAACGACGCAGCTTCTACCGCGCGTAAGTGCACAGCAAAGTCGGTTGCCGCTCTTGACGTGGGCGGTAACCCTCCCGGAGCGTCTGAACCCCTCGGAGCCATCGTCGTCTTCGCTCTCCTCGTCCTTGACCGCGTCTGATGTCTTCTCCGGCCGTTGGTGAGCGACGACGAGATCGACGAAAACGAACTCGTTCTCCTCGCCTTGAAAGGAATCGACGGAGGAGATTTGATTTCCTGCGCTGAGGTCCCAGTTCCTTCCGTTCGCCTCCGCCGTCGCTTGGATCTTGTGGCTTACCAGGGAGAGCTGCCCTGTGTAGTACACCAGCACCGTTATCTTAGACGCGGGCACCCCCATGGCCAAAGTTTGATCCACGAGAGTGCCTATCCTATCGGCGTTGGCATAATTTTGCAACGAGGTGCTGTTGACCTGCACCCGCGAGATCCCGTTGGCGACGTTGATCATCCAGTATTCGGAACCGTCCCCGTTTGGTCCATCGATTCTATATATTTTTTTCTATACCTCATGCGCGACCTGGCGAAGCCCGTTGTTGATGAGGACTGACTTCTGATTCTTCAACAATCCCTTGTAAAAGAATTCCGATACCCATCTGGAGATTGCGGGAGCCATCCGATACTGGAACACCAGTCGGAGGATCGGATATTTTTTCTCTTCAAGGAGAGCGAGGACCGAGAGCGTAGCGTTCTCTCTAAACTCGTTTGCTCTGCCGGACTGGCCGAAAGGTTTGAGCTGTCTGGTGTCTCCGAAGATGATTGCTGCTAGCCAGTTGCTGAAGCTCGTCAAGACGTTCGCGAGCGCAGCCATGGTGAGCTGCCCTGATTCTTCGATTTCGATGAGAGTTGGGTTGAATCCAAGCACCATCAACTCGGAACCGGCGTTGTTGCAGGTCGTGAAGAGGGCCTGGGTGTCTGCAAAGACTCGAAGGACGACTCGAACCCGCAGAGTTTGGAAATGCTCCTTCGCCTTTATTGACACGTCGCCATTGGCCAAGACATACGCGTCAAGGGAATTCCGGTACTCGAGAGACTTGTCGCGCTGGTCGATGCTTGGGATCCTCTGATCATCCAGACGTGCCGTGATCTCCGCTTCATCAAGCGCGTCTTCACCCAGCGCTGCAAGCTCTGCGTCGGTGTGGTAGTCACTTGTCTGACGCTTGTGTAGGATTGCGGCAGCGTCAAGCTTGTCGGCCCTATATGCCGCGAGCTCTGCGTGGAAGTCCGCGTCCGCCCGATACTGGTCCTGGAGGGTCAACTCGAAGCAACGATTGGGAAGCGTCATTGGAGCCGGAACGTTGGATTTCTTCCGGCTATCCATTTCCCGCTTCTCTTGAAGTGCTTGCGAAAGATCGTCACAAACCCGGATCAGGGCAAAGAGTTGCTTGTTATGCTCACCCTGTAATGCGGCGGCTTCGGCCATTGTCTGCGCTATCAGGTCGTCATCCTCTAGCATAGTTGACGCCTTGTAAGTTAGACGAGCATTTGGATCCCGCACGACAGGGTTTCTGATATCCGCTCGAGTTACGTATGCCTGCAGCTCGGCTGATGCCGTCTCGTACCGAAGGAATTCATACCTGTGACGGTGTTCTATTGGGAATTTCTCCCAGCAAGAGTTGGCGGCCTTGTCGACGGCGTTGTTACTTACCGCGCACACCAGGACAGTATGACCGCACAGCACGGCCCCGTTCGTGATGTCTGCAAGAACCGTAGTCTTGCCTGTGCCTGGAGGGCCTATGATCGCCGTCATCTTGTTCTTGACCTCCTTCAAAGAAGTGACGATTTCCAACTGGGCTGGGTTGTCTGCATATTTTTGGCTGCAGTAAGCCTCCCATTGTCTCCACATCTCAGGATTCCTCTCCGTCAGATCGCTTGTGGTATGCGTCATCTTCGAGGGGTTCGACATGAGGGCGATGCGGGCGGGAGCCAGCGTTCCAGCATTGAAAGTCTCATCTGCGAGTTTCTGCATCCCATCTATCTCTCGCTGGGCAGATGTTTCGTCGATGACGACCTCGATGTGCATCCGCACAAGCTTGTGGTTCTCAAGTCTTTCGTTGGCGGTCTTGTGGATGCGAGGAGTCCGGCCTACAAGAGGCATCTGAAACCAGACGCAGAAATCTGTACCGGTATCTTTGCATGGAACCTGCATGTCCTTCAGGACGGTTCCCTTCCAGATGGTTCTTTTGTCTGTGGAAGGCATGTGTGGTTTCCCGGTTTGGGGGTTTGCGTTGTCCAATTCGGCCCGGATTTTCGCACCGTGAGTGGGCACCGGACCATCTGTTGCCTGTCGGACGAAGCCTCTGACCCCCCTTTCGAGCTGTTTCATGGTGTAAAGGCCCTTGAAACCTGTGACTGGTACCTTGGGAAGGCCCTCGAAATGGACGAGATGTGTTCCAAGGACGAGGTGAGCCACCTGACCCTTCTCAAACTGCACATCTCGAATGACCGGAACTGTGTTGAAAACCCCGAACTCGAAAGCTGTGTCCCAGCTGAGCTGTTTCTCGAAGTTGTGGTATCCTCTGATCTGGGTCTTGTCTTCTTCAACCCGTCCGTCCTCCAGCTTCCTTACCTGGCCGTTGTCGTTGCGGTTCGCGCGGTATTGGACGTACATTGCCTTCTGGAAAGTGTTGATCGGCTCAAGATCTTCGATTGTAAGGCCCACCTTGTTCTCTGGTGCCTTATACTGCCAGAAAGCAGGATATCCGGAGAAGACCGAACTCATCAAAGGCACGATCCAGTCCTTGCGGGCGGTCTCCACGTTGGGGTAGGCTAAGAGCCATATGGTCATCATGTGGGGTCCGATACCAAGGAGTAGCTTTTTCAACCCATCCTTGACATCGTCAGCCAGGCCTTGCAACCAGGTCTCCTCCATTTGTGATACAGCCGTGAGTACGACCAGTAGACAAAGATATGGTGAGGGGTTGATGGTGAAAGAAGAGTGAGGACGCGAGGGACTTACCAGTTCAATTGAACCGCGGTCATTCCGGAGGCTGATTGAAATGATATTGATATGTATATATAGATGACACAAAAGCCAAGCCAGCGTATGGATCTATATAACGTTGGATGGAAATGTGGGAGAAGATTTGTAGGTTATAGGAGGAGGTACCTTGCATGTGTTGTATTGGGATTATGTAGGAGGGATGGTTGTATTGGGAGGGAAGGGGGTTTATATAGTAGACGATGCCTGTGGTGAATGTTCTCTATTCGGAATGAATGCAGAAAGGGAATGAATAGAGAGAGGGAATGAATAGAGAGAGGGAATGAATAGAGAGAGGGAATGAATGAAGAAAGGGAATGAATGGAGAAAGGAAATGGATGGAGAAAGGAATGATATGCAGCGGTGAATGGTCTGACGCATCACTGCATTGCCCTAGAATCTAAAGAAGGGAAGAACATTCACCTGCAAATGGATGAATGTCGGCAATGAATGCCATGTGTGAATACACCCAATGTGTTGTCAACTCTGTCTTCTTCGAACCCTCACCCCGTTTGCACCTCTGCCTTCTCCGAATCCTCACCTCATTTGATTTAGTTGCTATGTCTCTTCTATCCTCAACTTACAATTCAGCTCAGAGTGGTGCAATAGCTAAGTAAGCTAAAGCGACTATAGCTCTGTCTCATCAGAGTCTCAAACTGATACTTGCCTGAAAGGTCTCATCGAAAAGAGGCTGACCAGTCTGAAAAGCCATGTCCCCCAGATCCCTGGCCGCCTGGGCTCGTTGTCTGCTGTCCTAGACGGCCAGAATGCCAAAAACCTGGAAGTGACCGGACTCTCCGGATCATTGCCCTATGCCTTGACGGGGTTGTCCACATTAGGGTAGGCTGAGGACCAGATGGCCATCGTGTGGGTCCCGGTACCAAGGGATGGACTTTTGGAAACTTCACTTGACGTCGTCATCTAGGCCTTCCAACCAGGCTTTTTCAATCCGTGACGCTTTGGCGGCGTTGCATGTAAACATGATGCCCGCAAGTCGGTCCAGCTTGTGAAGCTGCTCTTTTGGGCAGCTATTCACTATTGCCGAGTCGTAAAGAGCTTTCCCGGCTTTCAAGAAGAGCCGTCACATAGTCGACTGTTAAGGCATCAAATCTTTCACACACTAGGTATTGTATACATCGAAGGGAAGTATTGATGAGAATTAGTGTTGCGATTCTTGCGATTTCAATGCCGTTGGATAACGAAGACTTGTAACATATTTATCGACATAGCAAGTAAAAGAACTAAGCTTACTTTTTTGAATCTTAATTATCAATACCTTTAGATTATTTCATTCCTAGATCTCTTATATTTCAATGAAACTCCGACGGAATTATGTACAATATCTATAACGTCTCAATTTTGGATACGTGGTGTGATGGGTAAGATTGAAATACTAATGCCAAGGACTTCCAAGGTTTTTGAATACGCTGAATGTAACGACCTAGCGTCGTCATGGATGAAAGCACTCTTGATTGAGCTCATTACACACGCGAACTCTACAGTAGTGGATTCAGTAACCAGATCTGAGCTCCCAGTGTGAGATCAATCCTATCGAGCTTGCCAGGAAGGTTATAAGATGATTCAGCGCCTGTTGCCTTGACCACCACTACTGCTCTGACCACTACTGCTCTGACCACTACTGTCCTGACCACCATCACTACCCTGACCAATACCATCGCCACCTTGTTGATATGGACTATAGTTCATTCCAGGTTAGGAAAGCTGGTCCATGATGCGGAGGATCTTGGAAGACTTACGGAGGTGGAGCACCGCCCAATTTAGGAGGCGGCTTCCTCACCGAATGATTCTGCTGCGCAGCTGGTCCACCCTGGTCATGTGGTTGGTAATCTATGCCCCAAACGTTGTATCGCCCGGGTCTGAACTGTCATCAGCAGAGATCTCGAATGAAGAGGATTGGAGATTACGGAGGAGGTGGAGGACCAGAATCAGTGTTCTGATCATGGTGTCGAACCTGCGGTACAGGTGTTCCACTCTGCTCTTCAAATGGTCCGCCCTGGTCATATGGACGATAGTCCATGCCCCAAACATCGTATCGTCTCGGTCTAGACGGCTGTCAGGAAAAGAGGATTCTCACATGAAGAGAATTGGCGAGCTTACGGAGGAGGTGGAGGACCAAAGTCAGCATTCTGACCGTGCTGTTGACCCTGCGGTGCAGCTCTTCCGCCGAGCTGTTTAACTTCTCGACCCTGCTGAGAGGGGTCTCCACCCTGCTGTATAACCTCTCGAGCTCGCTGTCCAGCTGCTCCACCACGCTGCTCCAATCCACTGTTGTCACGGCCAGCTGAACTGGAAGATCCTGGTCTGCATAGCCGTCAGAAAGGGTGTTTCAGATCTGAAGGAAGTGAAATACTTACGGGGGGGCCGGTGGATTGTTCATGGTTACGAGTACGTAGGGTGGCTCGAGGTAGGATGGCTTTGGGTACGACGTAAGATCTGGATCGTAGAGGTAGAACGTCAGTACATTTCGTGCATCCCCATTCTCTTGGGAGAGGTTCGAGTATTACCTCGGATGATAGATGTTGGGTGAATATGGAGGCGGCTGAATAGGTGAAGGAAGACTGGAGTGCTAGAGGAGGAGTTTGAAGAGAAGGTAGGCTCAAAAGAGAGAAAATGCTCCTTGTGTCCGTGAGCACATATTGCCTTGAATGTCTGCCTATTGGAGGAAGGCATGCACCTTTGCAGAAGAGAGAACCATCTCCGTGCTCCACAACACAGGCATTAGTCTCGACTCGAAGACGGCACTTTCGGCAGCGAGATTTGTGTCAACGAGGAGTGGGGCGAATCTTCCGATTGGATCCAGCAGCCGACACGAGGTCAGAATCTTGCCAGTCGGCGCTGCGCAGATCCCGAGAGAGTCGACAGTGTCATCTAGTCGGCTGGCGATGCTGAGCTGATGAGAGTCGATCATCGATACACGCGGCTAGGATCCGGAGAACACGGCTTCTGGACTGGTCAGCCTCTTCTCGCTCGAATTTGGATTCAAGGACATGATAGCTTGCCTACCCTTTTACCAGTATTTGCCTCCATCTTGTGTGACTGATAGGGAATACTGGGTATGTTGCTGGGAGACCATGCCGTTCCTGTATGAATATGAGCAAAACATGTGCGGAAGTAGGACATTCTGCCTTACCTGACCCTTCCGAACTTTTCAGGCCGCAGCTTTCCTGTCTTGTTAATGATTAGAGGTATGCTAGTTGTTACAGCATTTTGACAACTGCATAACTTGTGGAGCTATGGACGTGGTAGATTCCTTTACAGTGAGAACGTCTCCACGTAAAGTACTACCTGGATTGAACATGCTATCCTAGCCTATGAGGCCTTAACAACCTCTATGCAGCACTGCCGTCACCCCCTCTTTGACCCTCGTGCTTCCTTTCCCAATCTGAATGGCTTCCAGACTCAGAGTCGTATTCGGAGTCCGAGTCGGATTCCTCGTCTTCTATATCGAGAGGACCTAATGTAAAATCAGGCACAAACCCCGGCCTCGGACTGCTGATGAGTGATGGTATGGATGTGGGTGCCTCGAGACCGAAGGAGAAGCCAGACGTACTGGTTCGTTGGTCTTAGGCTGATGGGGGAAGAGGTCCTGCTCGACATGTCAGCATTGCCTGCATTTCTGGAGTCGGGTGGATCTCTGGCGGCACTGATGTCGAACGATCTGATATCTTGCCATCCTGCGCTGCCGTGGAGGTCGAACTTTCCGGATGCTGCTGAGATGTGAGGGTTGGCTGTGGCTCGGCTGCAGACTGCCCTGCATGGTCGCCTGGAGGTGTTGTATTCGGCAAGTTGCTTGGTCTTGTGGGCATCGGCAATTATCCTGGTCTTGGGGCAAGAGGCAAGCGCAATTGGTTCTAAGGAGCAGCCAAGATCGGTGGCAGCGGTAGCACCGACCTTTGGTTGAAATGATCCCCGTGGGAATCTTGCCAATGGTCGAAAGGGTGTTGTCTGCTTTCCAAGCTCGCGGTGAAATACCTTAGACAATGTCGACGAAAGTCCGGTGCATCGAACGGGGCAATAAACCACAACTCCAGTTGGTATGCTTTTTGACGCCGAAACATGGTTTTGATCGACTTTTGTATCTCAGCACTTTCCTGACTGAACTCTTCTTTTTTATGAAACCCTGATACTTGGCTCCAAGACTTGAATCTCAGGTACATCAAATTTTGTATGTCCCGTCTACTGCAGTCGGCGAGCACGGTTCGATTAGACATTCTGAGATCGGGCCCATCTGAAGTAGCATAACCGTGTTGGACGTCATTCATTGCCCATTCCACCCGACTGTTTGACGACATGTCCCAAACATTCTTGGCAATGCCTCTACCGGTCTCTGATCCGGTTTTGGTGAAAGTCAGTGCTACTGACGGAGGCCCGAAACGTCCGGGATCAAGGAACAATCGGGTTGTGAGTTTGTGATTTGTCAGATAGAGTGATCCGAATGGCTCTCGTTCGTTGATACTGATTACACAAGGTATCGTCTCCGTTGGGTGCCTCATTGTTTTGAATGAGAGGAATGTTGGATCAGGGCCTTTGGTTTTCTTCGAAGGTCCCGTCTCTTCGGTCGAGGGCGAGCGTTTTCGCTTTGTACCCACAGCGTTGGTGGCGTGATCGTCTTGGATCTCGCCCTCCTCGCTCCCGTCGCTCGCTACATTCGCGTCCATACGGAGCTCCTCCCCGGTGCTGCGGTTCTGTTCGAGGCCTTTGCTTGGCGTTCCATTGCTCCCTGTTTTGGGGTCTATCAGGTTAGACATTTTTTGGATAACCCGCCGAGTATCCTGCGGCGGTTGAAGATTGCCTCCACAAGGAAGGAACAATTAATTGCCAGGTACCAAAAAGATGGTACGAGACGAGGAATATTTGCCTGAGATGGCAAGGTATGAGCTTTGGAAGAGCGATTAAACAAGAGATGGCAAAAGAGTTGTGTGGAAAGGTTGGCTGAGTGGTGGTGTTTCTTTAAACGAAATAAGAGCGAAACTAGCGCCAAGCCTAAAACCTGCTGTATCAACACAACCACCAGCATGCTCTTTTTCTACAACCATCATCTTTCATAATCTCATCACCTGTTGCACCAAGTCATTCTGCAACTTTTGCCTTCTCTTGCCCAGTGTAAGAGTCGGATATTCACGTCTCACTTGCTGAGATCGTTTTCCACCACCGCAGGAATCTCGGGGGTTTTTCCAAACTATCATGTCCCTTCAAACTGACATGCAGGGCCTCATCGCCGAAAAAATGGCACGGCTGGAAGCTCAACTGGAAGTCGAACGACAAAAGTCCAGGATCAAGGATCTGGAGCAGAAAGTCCACACACTCGAGGTGGAGAAAGGACTGTCTGCCCAAAAGGCTGACGACCAGGCTCTTCGTCCCGCAGTGACCACAGGCATTCCGGATTTCATCTTGCGAGACAAGATTGACAGGCTGGAGACCCAGCTTGAGGCAAAGAATACAAAGATTGCGCAGCAAGAAGAAGAAGTTTCTGCCTTGCTTGAAAAGGTAAGAACATATCGTGAGGTACTCAGAGAGGCGACTACACTTTTCGGGTCAAAGCTCGATGAAGATGACGACGACATTTCAAGAGAGGATGCAGCTTTCCAGGGCGAGAACGGCGAATCGATGGCCGGAGCCGCTGCCGAGGAGCATGAGTCAAAACTGCTAAAGCCCGGGCTGTCAAGTATTGATACCAACAAGTCTACCGAGACTCCTCCAGTCTCACCACCCAAAGGATCCCAAGGCGACAGTCGAGCTCCGTTTCATACGCCCTCATCACAGTTGACACCGGCGAAGTTCGAAGACGATAGCGCTTCTAAACCAGCAGTACCTGCGCAGACGAACTATGCTCAGGTATTGCAAACGCCACGCGGAGGGCCGTCACGTCGAAGGGCGATGGTAAACCAGATAACAATGCCACGTTCACTTATCACGCACACCGAGGTTTCGGCAAAAAAGGAAACAGAAAAACAAGTTTCTCCTGAAGCACATAGACAACAGAGGTCTCAGGGACCAGACAGAGTTCCTGGGCGTGGAGACCAGAGGGGGCATGGAGATCAGAGAGGGCGTGGAGGCCAGGGAGGACGTGGAGGCCTGACACCAAACCAGGGTTTGAAAATGCAAGATCCCTCCCCAAAGAGGCAACCCGCTGATTATCCAAGATATGCAGGACCAGAATCAACTCAAGTGAGCGTGCCTGCCAATCCTGAGATGCGCGGAGAGTTGGAAGTCACGCATGGTACAGAGGTCGTGAATCAGCCTCATGTTGACGCTCCAGTCGCAACCTCTAAAATCCAGATCGGGCAAGAGATTCTTGTTGAGGACAAAAAAACTTCGAACCGCCTGAGGGGCGAAGCTGCTCTTTTTATTCCCAACCCCATGCCAGTCGTGGTCTTTGATAAACCTGCGGTCTCTGATGAACCAGCGGAGTTGACTGCTAAACAGATTGCTGCCTACACAAATTTTGGCTACCGTCTTCCATCAGCTCAGAATACTACCAAAGCTGATTCCAAAACTGTCATTCCCCCGGTTCCAGCGACGGCCCAACCCATATCGAAAATCATTGAACGTGACTCTCGATCGGCCCTACAAAGTCTCAGGCCATCGAACCCGCCAGCGCAACAGCTCGAGACCAGGGACTTTGGCCTCAACAACGCAGATAGTATGCCAGCGGGCGGTCTCGAGAGTAGTATTCCTCATGTGCCAATCACACAAGAAAGCATAGCCACCTTCCTGAAACCAGGAGCGGCATTGGATGAGGTGGAGAAGCGAAGGAAGAGTTCGCGACAGGGCAACTCAAGGACATTCACGAGAGAGCCAAACCCCTCTGCAGCTCTATCGCAAGACCTTCGCAAGCGAACAGTATCTTTCGACGAAGCGGAGGAGTCTTCAAAGCGTCGGCGTGTGGGGCCACCTTCCCCAAGTCAACCGGTTAGGGGGCCAGCCATTGCAGCATCCACAGGTGTGCCGGAGAGCAAGACTGAAAAACCCGACGTTGCGACGGAAGGAAACCCTTCTGCTTCAGCACTTGTCGACCCAGAAGCTCCCGTCCTGTCCCTGCAAAGCCCATTCCGCTGGGCTGATATTCGAAACCCCAGGAATTTGTTCTTGTGCATCGTCCAAGCTAACAACTCCTCGCTGATAGGCAGCTTCGCCAAAGACACGAAAGAATGGGCTTTCAAGCTTGGGTTGGATGCAGGACGCCGGCGGATTCCCACTATGAACATGCGATTTTTCTCTAACGGAATAGAAGGGCCGGGGTACAGCCAAACCGGATGGTGTCTAGGCGACTACATCGAAGGTGACTGGATGGTCACCGACTTCAAAGTCCATCGCGTAGCTGACTATCCTGAAAATGGGGAGATCTGCCACCCCAATGTTCTAGCGGCATGTAATACTGATGAAGAGAAGGCTCGCTTGATCTGCATCAGCCTGGAGGCATGGCCAAAGATCCTAGGGCACTTCGACCCCAAGGACCGACCCAAGATCCCGAAGCCAGACGTCAAGAAGCTTTTTGGTGCCGTGTTCACAGGTCGGCACCCCTATGAGTTGCGCATTTGGTTTCGTGCTCCTTATGACTTGGAAAGATTCGAGAAGCAATGCCTCTCATTCTTCACACGATACTTTGAGCAGCGAAGGCCACCTCATGAAGATCTTTACGACGCCGATGACGTCTGCTTCGAAGATCACCTGAAGGCTCAAGAGGAAGCTTCTTCTACTTGAGCAAGAGGGTTGATGCGCTGTCGATCTAGCATGAGCTTGAATGACGCATTCCGACAAAGTCAAGATTACTGGGGGAATCACGAGGTTCTTCGATGCGGGATGAAGGAGCTGAAGGAGAGCTCAGGGCACGGCGGCGAGGAAGGGGTTGGTGAGAGCTCGAGGACCAGGGAGTAGCGGGAGGGCAAAGTAGATTCTCCGGCTCGGCCGATGTCAGATGTATGGAGGATGATAGGAAGCTGCGGCATAGAGGTGGAATACTCGAGGAGACGGAAGGAGAGACTGGCTTGGACCAGCTTGGAATGAAAAGCTCATTTTCTGTATGAAAAAAGACAAAAGCCACGCAGTCTATGAAATCTCTGGTCTGAACCGAAAAAAGGCACTCTTCAAGCTCCCACAATACCGCTGCCTTGATGCAATCCCACACTCGTCCATCTTCTGGGCACTCTCCCCATTCCAATATCGTCTCTCATGATGTGCTACGCGTTTCCTTCCATTGCACACAACGCGTGCATTCAGTAGTTCAGCAAAGCCGAAGCTCCGGGCTCGCTCGAGACATAAAGAACATCATGGTTATCTGTAAACCCATTGAATTTTGTAGTGCTACACTTGGTGTAGGCACCCATTTCCTCAAAGTACAGCCAATCACCCACGTCTAGGACCCCATGAAGGGTACAAGTCTCCGTAACTCGGTCAATTCCATCACAAGATGGACCCCAGAGCGAGTACTCAGTGCTGCGATTGGACCTATCACGCTTGCTCAGGATGCGAGGAGACGCGATCTGATGGTCGAATATGAGACTTGAGAAGTTGCCGTAGACACCGTCGTTGAGGTAGAGCATGTAATTAGTCTCCATTGTAGCGGGATCCTGGAAATCGCGGCGAGCGATGATGTTGCAGGCCAAGGTGAATGCGGAGGCGACGTAGTAGCGGCCAGGTTCCCCAATGATGCGCACACTCGTTGGAAAGTTTTCATCGAGGGCTTTGCTCAAGACATCGGCCATGGACTCAAAGAGATCTCCAGAAAAGCCTCCGCCTACATCCAGAGTCTTGAGGTTGTAGCCAACGTCCGCGGCTTGATCAAATACAATACGAGCGTCTCGAACAGCTTTGTCGAAAGATTGAGGGTCAGAAGCTCCAGAACCGACGTGGAAGCTGACACCAGTGACATTCAATTCCAGATCCTTCGCCAAAGTCAAAAGGTCTAGGGTTGTGTCTAAGGAGGCCCCAAATTTATCGCTGAGTCGACACAAGCTTGCTGAGTCGTCTGTCAAGATGCGGAGAAACAGCTCTGCATCTGGAAAGAACCTCTTAATCTTGTAGAGCTCGTCTGAATTGTCGAACGTCATCTGCTTCACCCCACACTCAAATGCAAAGCGCACATATGACTTGGTCTTGCATGGCTGAGCGTAGATAATCCTGGATGGATCGACACCGAGATTGAGGACCTGTTCAATTTCTGACTTGGATGCACAGTCAAAACCGGTGCCTAATCCCGCAAGTAGACGAAGGACCTCTGGGTCCGGGTTGCACTTGACAGCTAATAGAAATCAACGTGCTGTTGTATTTGGAAAATTCAATGAATGAGAACGCACCGTAGTGGGGCTTGACCCTCTTCAAATTCATCTTCCAGCGTAGGTGTTGTCGATAGACCTCACCCATGTCAGCCACGAAGAACGAATCTTCATCCCCAGCAGCGCAAGTATCTGTATCGATGGCTGCAATCCGCCCTTTCAACACATCCTTCGTTAGAGTTTTCCCATATTCTTTTCCATTATCGCTAACAGTACTATTGACCCTCAATGATTTTTCATTCATGTCAATTGATGCATATTGTTGTGTAATTGTTGTTGCCGAAGGTGCCATTCGCATCCAAGCTCTAAGAAGTAAATTGTATTCCGATTGTGTGAGAGCCGCGTTAGGGAGGCTTGAAGATATCAGTCCCCAGACTGATACGGCTATTCCTCCTCGACTCTTCCCCGGGAAGAGGAAGAACCTCTAGGGACGTCCTATGCGGCAGCTGGGATTGTGATGAAGACAGTGGGACGTTTGGAATGCACTCTAGCAAATAGATCTCAGACTCTGAAATGTCCTGCACCAGGGGGAGGGAGGTCGTTGAGGACTGGACGACGAATTCAGAGTCAGTCTTCCAGTTCAAAAGCGATTCTCGAGTCTCAAAAGAAGGGGTTATGGCATCCGATATATACGTACTGTCCCGATGGGGGCGTGAGGCAGGATCTTGAAGACTGAACTGTGTCGAGGCCGGAGGAGCCGTGTTTATCAGTGCCTCTGAATCACCAGAGGTAGGATTTCCGGTTCGATTTTGACTGAGTCAGACTGTGTGCATGAGCAGCTAATATTGGAGAGTTAAAGAAAATGAGTCTGGTTGGTTATGGAATGTTCAGTTATCGTTTTGTGTCCAGCTGTTGGTGCGGGAATAATTTTGCGGTGAGGCACTTCTTTTGTGAGTGGGCAGAAAGCGATGACACAACCGAGACAACTTCCGGCTAGGCCGAGGCTGTTTTGAAAAAGGGGCTGCTACATACTCAACTCTCAGTCTCGTCTAGACAAAACGATTAGGTATTTACGATACTGGACACATATCGGCTGCATTGTTGCTTGCATATAGACATTGAGGTGCAGGTGCTATGCCCCTAATGCTTCTTCGAGGGAACAGCCCCCCTTGATCACCATGTTCTCCAGTCGAAATCCTTTCGATAGACTCGCCGCGTTGAGACGTCAGGCCTCTACGAAAACAACACCTTTGGGGTACAAGCCAGCAGCACCTTCGTTGAAGACGAACCCTACCGCTCCTCCCACGGGCTTCGCAGCAATTGGCAGCTACAATACGATTGCTAGAAGGTAGGAAGCCACGATTCCTCGACTTTCATTTACTAATGGCTTCCAGGTGGACTGCTATTATAGTTGGTATTCCCTTCGTGGTGGTCACAAGCTACGTACTGTACCAACGAGGTATGAGCCGTATAGCCTCAATCTATCTGCCTTTTGCTAATGAAGCCAGTGGTCCTCGGACAAGAACAGAAGCCTCTAATAGCTCCACCAGAGGGGCCTCTTGTCGCGAAACATGACTGAAGGCGCCCGCGGATGCTTCTCTTTCTTCGAACTTCATCTCGGCATAGGCATTCGATGAGGTTCGTTGTCGGGCCGTTGATCAATTTGCAGGTCAATTGAATTGGAATACGGTCAAAAGGAAGGCAAGAGACCGTGAGCATCTGCGCCACCTATGGCAGGGAACCAACAGCATCCTTCACGACGCAGGATAATGTATTGTCACATTGCCATTGTACATAGGTTCAATGCCCTCTCATCCACGCTTTCCAACCCCAGCTTGGTCCATCACAGCCCTTCAGTCTGTGCCTGTGGGACCTCCTCAGACTCTCCATTGACCTCTTTACTTGTTATCAGCATCCGGTCCAACGTGAGATTGTGAATACGCAGCATAACCTGCATGGCAAGTGAAGAGGGTTGGTCCTTGTACTTTCAATGTTGATCTTTAAGCCCTGTATGCCCCATCCCTCAAGCCGCAGCCCTTACAAACCCCCTCATAGCCTTGACCGCATCCCCGTCATTCGCCTTCAACAGCTCTGTAGCTTTCCCCTTAGTCAAATCCAATTCTTCGACCAGCAATGTCACATCCGCCTGATCCACCTTGATCTTCGCCCTCTTCTCAACTTCCTCTTTCTCCTTCGTTTTCTTCTCCCCTGCAGCAACCGTGCCAGCTTTGTCTGCTAACTCCAGCCTACTTATAGCCTTTCCAAGGGCTTCTTGGTCGATTTCTTTGTTAGGTTTCGTAGCAGCATCGTCGTCATCGCCACCGCGTCTTTCGAGGGAGGACATGGCGGCGGCCGCTTTGCGGTCTTCGGCAGAGGTGGGGAGGGGGGCGGGGTCTTCGCGGTCCATGCCTTCATGGACGCTGGAGGGTTGGGGCTCTGCCATTTTTATGGTTGAATTGCGCGTGAGTAGCAGCAGAAGAGTAGCTGTGAGGTGAGTTTAGAGTGGTTGTCAGAACGTAGGTGGTGACAAGGGGGGGGGGGTTCATAGAATGCGGAGGACCGAATTAGGTCTAGTGAAGAAATATTGGGATTTCGCCAGCCCCTTCCTCACGTATTCATGCGTACCTATCCACTCCACATTTCCAGTTATTGTTTAAAGCATATCGCATTTCATAGCTCAGGTGTATTTGGTGTATGTCAGCATAGGCTTTTTGGTCTCTGCACCTCATCTACCTGTTCAAAGGGTCCGTTTGTGTGTGCATCTCATCTAGGAGTCGTCTCTCGTAAAATTCCGTTTATTCTCTTTCTGTTGAAAAAAATCTATAGTCATGTCGAAAAGACCTCTAGAAGAGCCAATACAGCCTCCAAAGCTCAGCAAAAGTGGAGAAGCCGCAGCAGAGATCAAGGTCACAACAAAGCGACAGAAGAATAGCAGCTCGGAATGGACGCCATCATCCTGGACCACTAAACCCATAAAACAAGAGGTTGTCTATAATGACCTTGCTAAAGTCCAAAAAGCTCTCGCAAAACTAGAGCAACTACCACCCATCGTTACACCTACCGAGATCATCAAACTCCGGAAGTCTCTGCGAGATGTTGCTCTTGGCAAAGCGTTCCTACTACAGGGTGGTGACTGTGCGGAATTATTCGATTACTGTGAAGAGAATGCCATTGAATCGAAGATCAAACTTCTGCTGCAGATGAGTTTGGTCCTGATCTGGGGCGCCAACAGGCCTGTCGTGCGTATTGCGAGGATGGCTGGCCAGTACGCAAAGCCAAGATCAAGTCCCACAGAGATGCACGAGGGAAACGAGATACCCTCCTTCCGTGGAGACATACTAAATGGATACGCGGTAGAAGACAGAACCCCGGATCCAGCGCGTTTAGTATCTGCCTATTATCACTCTGCCGCAACGCTCAATTTCATCAGAGCGTCGCTGGCATCAGGGATCGCTGATCTACATTCGCCACTAGACTGGGAGCTGGGGC